AATATTAAGAATAAAGAAAGAGCTGCTGTTACTCACTCAAATTGTATCTCATCGAGCAGCTGATCCTTGTTCTCGAACGGTACTCCAACTTGTGCAAGCTTCTGTCGATTCTTCCAATCGAATAAACGGTCACTGATCAACTGGTTTTGAAGAAGCGCTACATTGTGAACGCCATCATTGAGTTTTTGTGCTAACGAACAACGCCTCTCAGAAAGTGTTTCATACAGCTGACTTGCTTTACGCTGCATTTCACACATGGATGCACGAGCTTGTGCAAGGCGATCACTTCTGAAAGTCTTGTTCCCTTTGCAACAACTCGCTTCGACTTAACGACCGGTCCAGCTCTTTCCTTGCTTATCAGTTTCATTTGCAGAGAAAACCTTTTGTAGCCTTCCACTAATCTTATCAATGTACATTTTCGGGTGCGGTAAAAGTTTTTGATAGAACAAAGTTAGCCTCTCGGTCATTTTTGCAGACTTTCGATTGCGCTAGATATGATGAATGCATCATCCGGAGCTTGTCAAAAGACAAGTGCTCTTTTCGAATTTAATTCGTTCATTTATTCAATCAGCAATCGCGCAACCCTTTACGAGTTTATGGCTCCTCATTCATTAGCAATATTACATCTTCCTTCCACTGAAACCCTTCATTTCACGCATCTAACGACATTAGTGCAGAGAATCGTCCAACTTCACAAAATTCAAACCCTGGTGATTGAGTTAGCGAGCATGCAAGTATGGGACCACTTTTTCTCTATTCGAATATATTCCATAAATGAGCCTAGCAATCGAATAATTTTCATTTCATATGGTCTGCCAACTTGGAGATAGAAATATGGATAGGATATGAGTTGGAAATCAAACATTCACTTGAAAGTCATTTCGTGAACAACTGAATTTCGTGTTCGAAAACGTGGACTCATAATGAGTGAAAAAACATTAGGGAGTGAATCACTGAAAAAAAATGAATGAGTGTTATCAAACATCGTATATTAAAGTTATTGATTGATTCCTAATTATTTTCAGCGGCAGTACAATACACTCTCATCCACAAGAACATAAGTTCGCATGGTACCTCCTCGCTTTAACGGTTATTCATGATGATATCATAAATCAGAGATCCATTCGGAGTTGTTATTCGAGCACTAACAATAAGCGTTTGGTTTGCCGATCGATCTGGGCGATGGGCGAAAAGTTCATCGTTGTTACGACTATTTACTGGATTAGTACTCGACTATGCTTAATTACGCAAAGTATTTATGGCAGCGGATCTTCATTATTGATTTTGATTGTGGAATGCTTAANTTAATTAGAGTCGTTATTTACTATTGATTTCGAAAGGTCTGTGCCATTCTGCAGACGATTTTCACTGCTATTTTCATTGGCTGCACAAAATGAATCATGTCAAGGAAGGAAGAATGTGATATTTGTGATATAGTTGAGAACACAGAGACATAAACTCGTGATGATTTGCAATTGCTAAATAAATAAATATTTCACGTCATTCAACAGAATTTTTATAATAGACGATAAGTACATCTACCGTAGTCAACTCGACACTGATAAAATATCACAGCGATCATCATGGAATGTATCCTGTTTATGGAACTAACGAGCAATTCGCATCTGATTCAGAATTTTGAGCGAAATGCCGGAAATTCAAGGGATGGATACTGTCGATTTTGTTTCACAAACAATTCCTATGAATTCTAATACCTGATGATGTTCAGTGTAACATTTGACAGCACACTGCACAGTAGAGAAAACGCGAAACAAAATATGGAGTGCACAAGGTAAAAAATAAGCAAAGATATTTTAGGCTTTCATTTAAGCTGTTTTTCTATGAATTCGAACAGAGATATATATAGCTGCAATCGATGTTCAATTCGTTTTCACGTCAATGATCTGCTTTCGAGAATCCTACACTGAATTAACGAGAGGGCATGAGAAGTTGGTCACGAAACCTGTGATCATGTTCAAATTGAGTGATCGCAAGTTGTATGCTTTGTAGCTCAGCAAGGTCATTCACAAAACGCCCTTGCATATCTTTGTTCTCTTCCCATAAGACGTGACATTCTTTGGTGAGTTCGCATAATGCTGAACGGATATCAGCGTAGCCGAGCATTCAATTGAGAAAAATTTCTGAAATTT